TATCACAGGCTAATAAACTGTATTTGAAATGCTGTCTGAGGGCACTGCCGTTGTCTTGATAGGCTGGGGCTGCAACAGTTGGGATCTTCCTGTTGGGGTTTTTGTCAGGCTGGATTCAAGTTTTTAAAGGGAATGCATGATTTGTCTGTGCTGCTTTGTGATAAATGGAGCTGCTCAGGCTGGAGGGGTTCCTCTAAAAGAAAATGTTAGAAGGGTGGTACCAGTGCAACCAATGCAATGCTGCTTCTTTCCCAACGTTCCTTGCATAAGGATGAGGTATTTTCTTGTTATTTCTAATTTTCTGCTCTCCCCAGTCAACCTCTCACTGCCCCAGGGAAAAAAATACAAGGAGATGGTGTTGTGGGTTAGGTCTGGATGCACTCTCAGAAAAAAAGAGCAGTATCCCTGACCACCATTTGGGATTCAAGTTCCTGTCCATTCCTCATCCCTCTCACATTGTGGGCCCCAGGAAGCACCACCCTGTCATTTTTGCAGATTTACAAGGAAATTGGTGGCTGCCTGGCATTTCATACACTTTGTCACCATTCCAGGTTGGTATCTGCCTATTTTGTGGACCTTTAAACCAGCCTTCCCAACAAAACCTCACTTCTTTTGTGCCTGGAAAGTGCTCTGAAATCCCAAGAGTGTTGCTTAAGGGATGTTATTTATGCTCTGCCTGTCCTTTGGCAACGTTCAGGAGCCTCAGTGTTGGTCTAAACATCCTTGGTGCTTTCCAAGCACACACGTTTTATGGCCAGTGGCAGAGCAACCTGTTCATGGGAGAGATTCTCCTGGATTCTTCCCTGGATTTGTGTATCAGAGGCAGTTTAAGCTGTTACATGTGCATTAGACTGAAGAGCTGAAAGGATTCAGGTAGCTCAGGTTTGGACCTTGTATTAGGACTGTGTCCCAGGGGGAATTTCATCTCCCTGGGACAATTCATCCATCTGGACAATTCCCATCCTTGGTGCTGGGAAATGCCCATGGATCTGCAGTCCTGCCAAGGCTGCCATGGAAAGTCTGTTGCTATAAACCCTGGGTGGGTTTTTAACAGAAACAAAGATTTCTCAGGGCAGAGGAGAAGGCCATGAGAGCAAATTGCTGAATTTTAAGGGTAGGTAAAATTATGGAACTTTTACCCTTGAATAATGGCAATTTAATTGACTGGGCTAAATGATTGATGGTTGGTGAGCAATGAGTTTGAATTCCCAGGGCTGTGTGTTCAGGGGGGCACTGCCCTTTTAATTTCATGTCAGATATTTAAATCATTTACATCACCCTGGGAGAGGAGCTCCCCTTTAAAGAGTTAACCTGTCTGGGGGGACACTGCAGCTTGAGCCACGTACCCTTTATCAAGAGAACCAGATGAGACAAGTTCATTTAAAAAGCCTGGTTTGTCATTGTTTATCTAATTTTCGGGGTTGACACACAAAATTAGGCTGGCTGACACTCACTCCAGGGCTATCCCTGGCCCTGTCCTGCCTGACCTTTCCAGCTCCAAGCTGATGTGCTGCAGGAATCTCAGTGCATCCCAAAGCCCAGGGTGAGGCAAACCAGTACCTGCCCAGTAAGGGAAACCACTTCAGATAGGTCCAGACTGAGACCTGTTTGTGGAGACTGAGCTTTTCAGTCTCGTGGCAGCTGGAATACATTTCCTTTTGTTGACTCTTTTAGTAGCATTTTCAGAATGAAAACTCCTGAGAAAAATTACAAGGGTTGAAAATTGCGATCTAATATAATTTGTGTCTCCCGGTCCTGATGTTCTGGGTCACCCAACACTGAA